GCTATGAGGGCCGGCACATTGCCATGGAGAAGGTGGCATCTAGAACCTACCGGCTACGGCTGGAAGCTGCCAGGCCTGGTGATGCAGGCACCTACCGCTGTCTCGCCAAAGCCTATGTTCGAGGGTCTGGGACACGGCTTCGTGAAGCAGCCAGTGCCCGCTCCCGCCCGCTCCCTGTTCACGTGCGGGAGGAAGGTGAGTGGAGGTTGGGGCTGGTGGAGCCACTGTCCTCTTTCCCTGCCCCTTTCCTGCATCAGTAGCTTCTACATGTCAGCCTCACACTCCTCTCCTACTGAGACTATGGGAGACACCCTGAGTTTCCTGGGTGTTGCATGGGTAGCAGCCCTAACCTCACGCCCCCTGACCCTGCTGCACCCGCTGACCCATGTCTTGTGTTCTGCAGGTGTGGTGCTGGAGGCTGTGGCGTGGCTTGCAGGAGGCACCGTGTACCGGGGAGAGACTGCCTCCCTGCTGTGCAACATCTCTGTGCGGGGTGGCCCCCCCGGGCTGCGGCTGGCTGCCAGCTGGTGGGTGGAGCGACCTGAGAATGGAGAGCTGAGCTTAGCCCCTGCCCAGCTGGTGGGTGGCGTGGGCCAGGATGGTGTAGCAGAGCTGGGGGACCGGCCCGGAGGAGGCCCTGTCAGTGTGGAACTTGTGGGGCCCCGAAGCCATCGTCTGAGACTACACAGCTTGGGGCCTGAGGACGAAGGCGTGTACCACTGTGCCCCCAGCGCCTGGGTACAGCATGCTGACTACAGCTGGTACCAGGCAGGCAGTGCCCGCTCGGGGCCTGTCACGGTCTACCCTTACACGCACGGTGAGTGTCCCCCTTCCTCCCAGCCCCCACCCTTATTCTTCCTTTCCCATAGTCTGACCTTTCTGCTACCATCCTCTGTATTCTCCCCTTCATGTCACATGAAAAGTCTTGAAAATCCAGCTTTCCACCTGCCTGCATGGGTCCTCCATGGTGGATGCTGAGGGGCACTCAGTGGGAGAGAGGGGTGTGTGTGAATGGGGTGGGTCCAGAGAGCTTGATAGGGAAAGTGCTGCAAAGTGTGACAGAAAGGAGGACAATGACACCCACTCAACACAGCCGTCCTCTCTTACCCAGCCTTGGACACTCTATTCGTGCCCCTGCTGGTGGGCACAGGGGTGGCTGTAGTCACTGGAGCCACCGTCCTTGGCACCATCACCTGCTGCTTCATGAAGAGGCTACGAAAACGGTGATCCTCGTTCCCCAGGTGAGGGAAAAGAACCCTCCAACCTTGCCTTCCTTAGGTTTTCTACCCCCAAGTCCTGAGCTCAGCTACTCCCTTCTGGGCCCAGCCAGAGGAGGGGTAGCCAGCTCAGCTCCACAGGGTCCTGCTGGCAGGTCAGGCCCAGAAGGAGCCCCAGGCAGAGCTTTGCCCTGAGCCTGCACCACTCTCTCTCTATTTCCTGCAGGTGTCGACTGTCTGCATCCTGGCTCCAGCCTTCCTCAGGTTGCCTGGATACCCTCCTCCTCTGTCCAGTTTCCTTTAATTTATTTGCCCCCTGACCACCCAGAAGTGGGAGGCATGGCCCCCATTCCCCACTCCTTCCCTCCCACACTCCTCCTTTTGGTCTTCGGTCTTGATCTCATACCCATACTATGGGAGGCCATTCCCTGCCCTGGAATTAGTTTTTCTAAAATGTGAATAAACTTGTTTTATAGAATCCAGGCCTGGCTATATCTTCCCATGTCAGGAGGCTGCAAATGGTTGGGGGTATGTAGCTGGGAGGCTGTTGGGGGTTGAAAACCTATTCTGGACAACCCAGACCTTTCTTCCCACCACAAACACCATCTGGCCTTTAGGGTATATGCCACCCAGCCCAGGAAGGAACACCTGGGTTCCATCTGCTGCTTGAACTGTCAGTGCTGAACTAACTCTGGACAGGATTCCTACTTGAGGAGGGGGACAGAGAAAGGGAGGGTGGGTTCCTGCTGACCCCGATCCCCAGCCCTCTCCTATGTTACAGGGAAGGGGCTTCAAGGGATAGGGTCCTTTCCAAGCTTCCCAGACTCCATCCTACTCCGTCTCATTCTCCTAGTCAGGATCTCTTTGGACCTGATGCTTCCCACTGGGGCCGGGGGCCTCAGTCTTCCCTTATGACCTTAATTATTCTGTCTGACAACAAAAGGACAGAAGCCCCAGAACACAGCCACCTGGAGCCTGGGTGGCAGGGACTACCTCAGTCAGGGCAGGGCCTGTGGGTGCTGCACCCCAGAGTGCTGCACCTGTGTACACACCCCCCACGGCTTCCCTCTCCAACTTCAGCACCCTAGGGGCTCCCTGAATTTCTTTGCCTAAGGATTCTCTGATCCTGAAATCCTTAACTGCATTGCACCTTAAGAGGCATCCAGTCTACCTCTTTCATTCAGTTATTTAAACATTTATTGAGCATTATTAGTTTGCTAAGTGTTGTTTTTACAGATGAAGAAACAGGCCCAGAGAAGTGATGTGACTTATCCAGAGTCATAGAGCTAATTAGCAATAGTCTGTGTCAGGACTAGAACACAGGTCTCCTGACTTTGCACTGTACAGTGGCGCCCTGAGTGGTGACAGTGGTGAAGAGATATGTGTGTCTCTGACTTCCGAGGGAAGGAGGGGCCCACTCCAGCCTCATTTTCTCTGCCTGTCCCACATGGATTAACTTCCATGTGAGTGTGTGCAGATGCCACTCAGCCCACTCCTATTGTCCAGACTGTGCCTGTTTCACTTCATTGTGCACCCCAACATCTGTCCTTGGGGACCGGCTAATGCCAGGGTTCAAGGACCTCATCTTTAACCAAGGGTGACCCAGGTGGTTCATTCTTGACATCCATGCCTAGCCTGAAGGAAAGGAACTGGGGTGTGAGTCCTCTCTGAGTGGACCCAAGCTGGGATGGGCTCCCTCCATGACCCCCTTTCTTGCTTCCAGGAGATGTGGCACCCCACCATTTCCTGCTGCCCAGCCTGGAACGCCACAGACCAGGGAGCTTCCCCCAAGGGGCTCAGACTTTTATTAAAGGACAGGAGTGGGATGTGGCCAGGACCTAGGGAGGAGGTCCTTGCTGGGGTAGTGCTGCTGGGGCCCTGGCGCCCTGGTCTGAGGGTGTGCTTGCCTGGCCTGCACTTTCTCCAGGAGGCCCATCTTGGGTCCCCTGGGCCCTCTGCCCCTCCCAAATTACCCGTCTCTCCTCACCGTACAGGGGGCTACTGCTGGTGACTGGGCGGAGGGCAGGAAAGGGGTGACACTGGCATGGAAATACGTGTCTCCAGGGACCCCATGCCAGCTGGGCTGACAGCTGGCCCCACACACCCCGAACTTTGGGCTCCTTGCTTGTTTCCATCTCCTCCACGTTCAAACCTGCCTCTCACCCCCACAGGGATTCTACCCTTTGCCTCAGAGCCCTTCCTGCCCCAAATCCCCATTACCTCACAAAAATCCCCTTAAGTTCTCACTGCTTCCTCCTGTCCATCTGGCCCACTCATTTTCCGAATCACCACCTCTGCTGTCACTGTCCCTTTTCCACCGAAAGCTGAGTTCCTGGGCCCAAAGTTCAACTCTTCAGGCTGGGTTTCAGGTCCTCTTTCCCACACACTATACTCTGATATGCACCTTTAGATTCTCTGTCCCAGAGGGTCCTCAACTTCTCCCTAGCACTCCCTGGCTTGTCTGCCCCATCTCCTTTGACTACCAAGTCTTTGCTTAGAGCAGTGGTTCTCAGTGTGGTCCCAGGCCAGCAGCAGGCAGAATGACTTGGGAACTTGTTAGAAGTGCACATTTTTGGTCTCCATTCCAGATCTATTGAGGCAGAAGCCCTAAGAGTTAGGTCAGGTGTTTTAACAAGCCCTCTGGGTTGAGGTCTTCTCACTGCCGCTTACATCATCCCCCCAGCCTTACCCAGGTTCCACCTTTCTGATTACCCTCCAAAAGCGCTCAGGTTCTCAGTTTGAACCACAGCTCCCAGAGGATCCCTCTGTGTTCCCATGTGCCCTATATTCCCAGGATAGGAACGAGGTCTTTGAATGTCCACCCCCTGTGGCACCCAAAGATTTGAATGACTCCTCCCCACTGTGGCCCAAGGACAAACTCTGCTTTCCCAGGAGCACACTGTGTCCTAGCCTTGGTGAACTCACTGTCTAGGGCTCTCTCCTATTCCCTTTTCCTCCTCAGAACCTCTCTCTCTTCCTGCCTCTGCAGTAGTTCCTGTAATGTCTCTTTCCACTGTCAGAAAATAGCCACCCTGGTCTCCTTTCTCAGCCTGCTCCAGGGCCCCAGCGGCAGTATCTCTCCTCACAGCCTCTTCCCTCGGCCTGCCTGCCCAAGGACTAAGGTCCTTCACACCTTGCTGAAGCCCATCACCCTCCCATGCAGCCTGTCACAGTGGCAGAGTTAGAGTTGGGAGGGCATCTCCTCATCTGTGCCATCGGCTGGCTCTGTCTCTTCTGGTTCAACTTGGGCTACTATGTCTAGTTAGACAGGTGTGCCATGCCCAGGGATGCTGGCTGAAGAGGTGAGTGGGGACAGCAATCCATCCCACGCTCTGTTCCCCGAGCTATGTACCCTGGTTTGAGGCTGCATCTCTCTGGAGGAAAAGGCACCTCCTAAGACGTGCACCAAGGTGTTCTATGTGTCAGCAGCAGCCCCCAGTGCACCAAATGTCCATTGGTCCATTTATCTGTCCCATCAGCTGTTTTTACTTGCCACCACCTTTCCATAAGTCCATCCTTCTGTCCATCCATCCACCCGTGAACAGAGGTGAAGGTCAAACACAGACAGGCTTGTATGTTCACCCATCCCCACCCTCTGTTTTCCTGAAATCAGGACTGCTCTTTTCCATAGTCAATCCTAGCCTTGAAGTTCTGCAGGGGCCTCTCCAACTTCAGCACATTTCCAGGGACCTCGCCTGCCTCCTCCTCCTCCACCTCCAATATCCAGCTCCCGTGTACCTGTGTCTGGCCCCTGGTCTGTCACAGGGGTCTGGAGGAAACTGGTCACACCTTGGACTCACTCTCTGGGGGTGGCAGGCAGCCATTTTGTTCCTTGTCAGCCCCAGCTTCCCCTCCAGCCCCCTCCCCTGCCCCCTCCTCCTCCACCTTCTCATCCAGCCGGCTGGGGATAGACCAGTAGAGATGGGCATCGAGGCGAGCTGCGGCCTCTGCCAGTTCCCGGGCACTGCACGAGGGCGTGGGCACCTCAAAGGTCTCATGGAAGCTGGCATAGTCCACCTCATAGAAGCCGTCCTCCAGGGTCAGCACTGATGTGAAGCGGTGGCCCCACAGCACCTCGTCCACCAGGTAGGAGCTCCGAGCTTGGCATGTCATTCCTGCAGGGAGGAGCATGGTCAGGGGGTTCCCAACCCCAGGCTTCCCTCTCCCACCTTTTTATTGCTTATAAAAAGCACCCTTTTCTCCCTACCTCCCTCTCATCCAGCTCATCTTCTCCCCAATTCCTGTGCTTATTAACTCCCTCACCTTTTCTCTGCTCCACAGCTCCTCTTAATCTCCAGCCCCACTTCCTCACCCCTCTCATTTGCTGATGCCAACCAGAGAAACCAAACCTTGAAACTAACCTTAGGGATCATCTAGTTTAACTTCCCCTTCCATACAAGGCTCCCCACTGGATCATCCCCAACAATGGGCATCTAGCTTGTACTTGATTACCTCCCATGATTGAGAGCTCATCACCTTCTAAGGAGCCCATTCCTGTCTGTGATGGCTGTAATAGTTGGGTTTGTCTTTATGCAGAGCTAAAATTTGCCTCCTGTGGCTTGGCACCTGTGGCT